ACCTAATAAAGAGTGAACACCCTTGTATGTGACGTACTAATTACAACCTTCAGATATGGGCTATAGCCAATCTCCTTGTAAAATCACACAGACTCCTCCAACAGAGAAATCAAACTGTCTTCTTCCTCCTCACTTGTCCTATAACCTTCCAAGATGTTTTCATTAAAACAACAGCTATGGGATCCAAAAGGGCCACTCTAACAATGTCAGTTGAGTAGGAGTGGGGTTGGGGGAGCAGGCCAGCTGGGTCTCTCTATGAACATTGAGGAATCAGGTACCTTGAGGCCTCTGCTGCAGAACAGTGTTCTCTCTGGAGGACAGTCCATAGGGCCTTGTGCTCTCAGGTTAAGTTAAAGTTAAGCATGTGGCAAGTGTCTGCAAGATGGGTGACAAAGTCATTAGGTCTTATGGCTCTTTGCCCTGTATAAAATGAACTGGTAGTTTCAATTCACTTTCTAGTGGTCAGGTAGTCACATCACACACACAACTAACTGGCTTCTTTAATAGAGAGATCAAGAACTGACTAGGCCCTGGACCTGGTTATGAACTCTCATGCTTCAAGGTATAAACCATGCACTAACTGATGGGGGTTAGAAAAAAGCTTCTAGGATAGGTTATTGTACATTATGGGACTTCATGCATTTTTCTCTGGAGCATCTGGGAGTGGACACTGTGAGAGAGAGGAAACTGGGCTAGATGGACCACTGGGCTGATCTAGCATGACCGTTCCTATGTTCCAAACTACCCTGTCACCCCTTGAAGTAAAAAGTCCAGGTCAGTCAACGTAGGGAAGCACGGATGGTCCATGCCCTATTCAGGGCTATCTATTTGTCACTAGCCACACTCACTTTTATTTGAAAATCACTTAAACTGGTTCTGGTGTAACCTCAATTGGCTTTCATATAAAATGATAAAAACAAGACTGGGTCAGGTAGTAAACAATGAGTGTCGAGGTGTCAGCCGCATCTTAGGCAAGAGAAGTCATAATATTGCAATGGTCATTATGAGTATATGGTGGACAGATTGCACAATGCACTATTTACGTACTGTGTATACCTCTGATGTGCACATCCTGTTTGCAAATGGCATAGTTCTGTGTCACGTCTGAATCCGTTTGATGTATTGTTTGAAGCCATATAGCAGTATAATAGTCAATTCAATTTAGACAATACATTTTGAACTTATACACCTGTCTTCCAGAGATGCTCTGTCTAATCGGCCTTCCATCTCGTGATGTCCTTTGCTTAACAGAATTATATTTATTTTCGTACAGCACATTAAGTGTACAAAGCACTTTACAGACAGGTGGTTGAAGCATGAAGGGATATATGAATCTTTAGTGCATCTGGCACATAAATATCTTGCAATGCCAGCTACAACAGTGCCATGATAATGCCTGTTCTCACTTTCAATTGTAAACAAGAAGCGGGCAGCATTATCTCCTGCAAATGTAAACAAACTTGTTTGTCTGAGCAATTGGCTGAACAAGAAGTAGGACTGAGTGGACTTGCAGGCTCTAAAATTGTATATTGTTTTATTTTTGAATGCAGTTTTTTCTTATACATAATTCTACATTTGTAAGTTCAACTTTCATGATAAAGAGATTGCACTACAGTACTTGTATGAGGTGAATTGAAAAATACTATTTATTTTGGTTTTTTACAGTGCAAATACTTGTAATCAAAAATAGATATATTTGAAAATGTAGAAAACACCCAAAAATATTTAAATAAATGGTATTCTATTATTGTTTAACAGTGCCATTAATCATGATTAATTTTTTTAATCGCTTGACAGCCGTATATTTTTGAATATTTGTATTACATAACTTCAGGATTACCCCTCTGTTTCCCCAATCTACTAATTAAGAGGAAACAAACAGAAAAACAAACAAAATAACAAAGAACTATTAAATACAAAGAAGAGTCATGGGCATCAAGGAGAAACAACAGCCCACTAATGGAAGAGGAGAAAATGCCTAACAATCACCCCAAATCCTGTCTCTGTCCTAAAGGACACATCACAGTTAGAACTCATCTGTCAGATTATGTTACCTGTTGCAGTAATGCTCAAGGAAGCCTAATTTATATATCTCCAGACTGCATAAGGGCTGCCACCTGACTTTATAATGATGGTGATTAGCTAATGTGAGGAAGTAATTTTTCAAAGTTAGCTTCCAAGTTACTGCTCACATGTACTTTACTCTTGTGCTGTGTACAGGGCTGTTTGCATTATGAGAGAGTTAGTCTCTTAGCAGCAATCACTGGTCTCACAAACAAGCTTCTCAAAAGGTTTCAAGGTATCCAGGCAACTAGTGTCTCCCAGGATAACTGACTTCAGGCTCAACTCTATGTCCACTTGTAATATCAAACTGACCCTCAATTGTACTGTTCCAGAGAACACTACACTTCCCACCGTAGGGTCTAATTCTCCTCTCCACCACATCAGTTTAACTCCAATGATTCCACTAGAGGTCCCCTAAATTATTTTGGATTAAGTGAGAGGATGCTATATGTGCAAAGGACATGTAGCATCTCTGGACATTCAAGATACATTGATAGCAAAAGACAAACTTTCTTGAGTCTGGTAAGAGCCTATATATTCTGTACAATATTTTAGATTGTAGTGTCCAACTACATGATCCTTACAGGTTTCCTTTATATTTCTTTAACTTAGTTCCCAACTCTGGGATGTTACCCTTTCCCCAATATTGGGTTATCAAACTCCCTTCAGCAGCTCATTCCAATGTCTCTGTCTGTTTAGCATTTGTATAGTTTGGAGGGAAGAACAGGGATCAGAAAAACAGATCTCTAATCTCACTGTGCCCTTCAGGTGTAAGCTAAAAAGTGACCGTAAAAATGGTAACATGGGGTTCCATCTTCATTCCATCTGTTTCCAGAGCAAATGTGTCCAGCCTGATTTGCAAACTCACCCTGAGATCCAAAAGTCAATCTGCTTTCTTTCTGGGTCATGCATTATCACCAATAATAAAAAGTCTGCTGTTGAAACTTATTTAACAATTCTGTTGATCATAAGAACGTTACAAGATAATTCAGCTCATTCTTCTTTATGAATGTTGAGTCTGCAGAGCTGACAGTAGCATAAAGTAGTGCAAACTTATTTCTGTCAATAATGTAAGGAGCTCTGACTCTGAATACACACAGTGAATACATATGTTGGGAGAGAAGGTGCCATTTTTATTTGATCACATTTCCCACTAACCTCTCTGTAAATTCAAGCCTTAAAAATGGTAAGCACCTCGGGACAGGTTCTCCTTCTGTACAGAGCAAAGCAAACTGTCAGCCCTCAATAAATATTAAGAAATATTCTTGTGAATGGAAGGATGTCTGAGATTGCAGTTACTTCCCCCACCCATGTCCTCAAGCAACAGTTGTAAATGTTTTATTTTAATAATTTATTAAAAATAAAATAAGTTTTTGCAGAACCAGTTAAATGACAGCCTCATTCTCTTAGGTTTGCCAGAAAGTGCAGATGGATAAAGCACCCATGGCTCCGAGAACTGGGAAATGGCAGCCATGACTTTGATTAGCGTTTCTGAGTATATGTACCCCAAGTTCACATCAAAGGAGAAGTGGATGTCCGCTTCAACTCATGTGCATGTAACCACTACTTACGGCTGAGAGGGGAGGCTCCCTGGAGGGTCCCTCCCTATCCTTGTATCCTAACAGATGTTCCTCTCCCATTCCCACTGTACCCCAGTACAATGCCAGGAGTGAAGTGACCGTAATCTATTCCCTGCACCACAGTAGCCATTCTGGGAGACAAGAGATATTTGTCACCCAGCCCCCTCATTCTAGGGGATGTCCTTTCTGCTGCAGTCAACAATCATTTTAGGGTATTCAGAGGGTCCCTCTGTTCCCATTACATCCCAATACTAACCAATCTTCCATTTCCCAGCACCCAGTAATCAATCAGGAGGTCAAGGTTGGGTATTAGGAAAAACTATTTCACTAGGAGGGTGGTGAAGAGCTAGACTGGGTTAACTAGGGAGGTGGTGGACTCTCCATCCTTAGAGGTTTTTAACACCGGGCTTGACAAAGCCCTGGCTGGGACTATTTAGTTGGGGTTGGTCCTGCTTTGAGCAGGGTGTTGGACAAGATGACCTCCTGAGATGTCTTCCAACTTTAATCTCCTATGATGATTCAGAGCAGTGTTTCTCGACCAGGGGTACCCATACCTTACAGGTCTTCCAAGAGGTACTCAACTCATCTAGATCAGTGTTTCTCAACCTGGGGTTTGCAGCCTTGAGGGGGGTCCCAGAACAGGTTTGGGGGGGTCACAAGTGCATTAGCATTAGGGGGGAGGCAAGCAGGGCAATTGCCTGGAACCCCATGCCACCGGGGACCCCAAGAATCTAGGTTACATGCTTCAGCCCCGCCGCCCCGGGGCTCAGGCTTCAGAAAAGGCTCACAAGTGAAAAACATTGCGTCACACTGAAATGTAAGTACAGTATTTATATTCCGATTCACTTTATTTTAGAATGGTCTGGTACAAAGGAGAAAGGAAGCAACGTTTTAGTAAGAGTGCGCCGGACCACTGTGGGGTTTTCATGTCTGCTTTGGGAAGGAAGACGTTGTTTCAATGAGGTGGGGTACGCAAGACAAATCAGACTCCACCCTGGGGTCCAGCAGTCTGGAAAGGTTGAGAACTGAGTTAGGAGGACTGGGGGAGGCTCCCCTTTTCGCCCTGCACTCCAATAACCACCAGGGGGGTTCAGCAGGTGTCCCTCTTATTCCCTCCCCACCCCATGGAAACTGTGGCACTGGGGGCGACCCTGTGCACCCTAATAATCTCGATGGGAGGCAGGGGCGCCCCCTTCCTAGTCCCCTACAGCCCAATGGTTGCTAGGGGACAGGGGGCCCCTCCCCAACAGCCAGCCGGTGCCCAAGGCTGGGAGCCGGGGTGTCCCCCTGAGGGGCGGGGAGCGCCCGGGGCAGACCCAGCGGGGGGCGCCTCAGGGAGTCGGGGACCCGGTGCCGGGCCGCCGCACTGCGCATGAGCGGGAGGCGGCGGAAGGGCCCGTGAGGAGCCGGACTCGGAGCTGGAGGAGCCGCTGCCGCCTCCGGAGGAAGCAGCCGCCGTCGCCGCCCTCAGTCTCCGCCTGAGCCGGGAGGGGAGAGGCCTGCACAGCCCCCAACATGGTGAGCGCCGGGGGCAGCCTCCTGGGTCGGGCCGCGCGCCGGCCCCCGGGCACCCGCCGCCGCGCAGCGCCGCTATGCGGGAGCCGGGGCCTAGTCGTGGTGGCGCCGGGGGGGGGGGGGGGGAGAAAGTACCAGGGGGCAGCGCCGCACAGGCGGAGCCTCCAGCCCGGCCGGACAGAGCAAGGAAGGCTGGGGGTCGCTGCGGGGCCTCGGCTCGGCTCAGGCGGGAGGTGGGGCGGGGGGGCTCAGACCCCCTTCAGATCAGGAGCTGGTGTGGGTGTGTGTGTGGGGGGGGGCTCAGACCCCCTTCAGCTCAGGAGCTGGTGTGGGTGTGTGTGTGGGGGGGGGCTCAGACCCCCTTCAGCTCAGGAGCTGGTGTGGGTGTGTGTGTGGGGGGGGGCTCAGACCCCCTTCAGCTCAGGAGCTGGGGTGTGTGTGGGGGGGGGGCTCAGACCCCCTTCAGCTCAGGAGCTGGGGTGTGTGTGGGGGGGGGGCTCAGACCCCCTTCAGCTCAGGAGCTGGGGGTGGGGGGGGGTGGGGGGGTGTGGGGGGGGGCTCAGACCCCCTTCAGCTCAGGAGCTGGGGTGTGTGTGTGGGGGGGGGGGCTCAGACCCCCTTCAGCTCAGGAGCTGGGGTGTGTGTGTGTGTGTGGGGGGGCTCAGACCCCTTCAGCTCAGGAGCTGGGGTGTGGGGGGGACCCCCTTCAGCTCAGGAGCTGGTGGGTGTGTGTGGGGGGGGGGGGGCTCAGACCCCCTTCAGCTCAGGAGCTGGTGGGTGTGTGTGTGTGTGTGGGGGGCGCTCAGACCCCCTTCAGCTCAGGAGCTGGTGGGTGTGTGTGTGTGGGGGGGGCGCTCAGACCCCCTTCAGCTCAGGAGCTGGTGGGTGTGGGGGGGGGGCTCAGACCCCCTTCAGCTCAGGAGCTGGTGGGTGTGGGGGGGGCTCAGATACCCTTCAGTTCAGGGGCTGGTGTGGGGGGGAGGCACACTGGTCCCCTGGAATGGCATATGCAGGGGAGGGTGCTGTGGGGCTCACTGGTTCCTTTGTGGGGAGGGTGGCTCAGGACCCTTCACTTCTGTGCTGCGGGGAAGCGGTAACTAGGCTCTGTGGGGAGGGAGCAGGAACTGCACCTCAGGGCTAGGGGAGGGGGTCTGTGAGTTTCTGGGGGGACTTTGGGACCCAGCATCTCAGGGAGGGTTTGGTAGGGAGTATTCCAGGCCGCTCCTTAGGAAGGAGTCCGGGGTGGGGTGGGGGGGAATCCCTGTACTTTTTGGGGTGTATTCAGGTCCCTTTGTGTAGAGGGTCAGGGATTACTAGCTTCATGGGCATTTTAGGGAGGTTCAGTTTTTTGTGTCCTTGTTGGATTGGGTGGATTCAGATCCCAGCATACATGAGGAGCTAATGGGGATGCTTTCCTGGGGCTCAATGCCCATTGTAGCAAAGCAACTTCACTGATGATATGGAGGTTTTTGAGGTTCATCAAACTGGAGCCTTCCTGGAGAATTTGTGGGCATTTACTTCATAGATTGGGGATTGATCCCTTTCACATCAGCATCACGAAGGACGTTCTATCCATTCACACTTTTTAATCTGATTTATTTTGGTAATAGCTAATGATTTCTGATATACAGTGTGCTGTTTTAATTATTATTTTTTTAAATATGAGAGTATCTTGATATTGACTGTCTCTCACACACATTTTTGTGTACCCAAGTGAACATGTTTTAGTGTCATACTTTTTTCTAAGGCCTCATCTTCACACAAAAGTTGTACCACTTTAACAATATTGGCATAGTTAAAGTGGTACACTGCTCCTAGTAAGGACGTAGATTTATTGTTATAAATATGTGGGAAGGGGAATAAGCTATAAAGGTATAAGGCACCTTTACAGTGCTATAACTGCATCCACACTAGGGATTGTACTAGCATAACTATCATTTTAAAAAAAAAATCACACCGACATAGACTTGTGTAAAACCCTGTGGTATTCCAGGACATAGATTGTTGGTGTGGCATTTAGACCTCTTGCACTTCACTTTTTTGTTGTCATTAGAAATCCTTAATAAAAATTGAAACCTTATACTGAGCCGTTGGATGAAGTTTCTTTTTGTGTGAAACAGGTTTTTTAAGAGAGATCTTACTGCTGAAGGGTGGTGAGGTTGTTCACGAGTCTTAGTATAACAACATGCTTTTTGGAACTCACTTGGTCAATGGTTTTCAACCACTTTCATTTGTGGACCCTTAAAATTTTTAAAATGGAAGTGCAGACTGCTTTGAAAACTTAGACATAGTCTACGAACCCCTAGGGGTCTGCGGACAACAGGTTGAAAACTACTGTTTTGTGGTAATGACAATCTTTTGCTGATCCTTCAGACATAGTCAGCCACTCAGTTGAAAGCCACTGCGCTAGCTAATTGTTACCTCAGCAGTGTTGTGCAACATCCGATGAAGTGAGCTGTAGCTCACGAAAGCTTGTGCTCAAATAAATTGGTTAGTCTCTAAGGTGCCACAAGTACTCCTTTTCATTTTATAAAAAGCATCTTGTTAAGGCCTCAGGAAGTACAGTTAAACTAGATACCTGTACTGCTTAGGTTTTTGAAGGCACTTGGCTTTAGGCCTCATGCCTCACAACACAACCTGGATATGCCATATAACCACACATCAGATGTGTTGGCTGTGTAAGCATATATCAACACCCGGCTTTATGATTAGAAATTGTAATTTAATCAAGCATTCGTACAATTTAAATACAAGAGAGGGGCAATGAGATGTATTATGCTGTGAATAGTCTCCTGGGGGAAGTGGCGGATGCCTATTTACTTTGGTCTTTTGAAACTACACTGAACAGAAGACTAGAAAACATTCTGTATGGAACAGTGCTGTATTGACAAGATGGACTGGGTAATCTAATAGGTTTATTATTGTATTAATTTGTATTCTAGTAATACCTGGGCACCTCAGTCATGGACCATGGCCTTGTTGTGTTAGGCACTCTACAAATAGGTCTTTTCCAACTTGTTTGATTCTACAATTAAGTTCCAATGGTTTGTTTATGTCACCATGAACTTCAAAGTAAAAACACATCCTCATTATGAAATGGTTAGGATTTCTTGTTATACTACTTGGGTACAAAGGCTTCGATTCTGCAAACACTTACGCATGCGCTTGTTTTTAAATCAATGGGCTGTTCACAATACTAAAGTTAATTACATGCCTAAGTATTTGCAGCACTGAAGCCTACAGACTAATTTTATAATCTTTATTCAGCAATTTACTTTGTTTACTGTCTTGTGTATCTGCACATGTTCTCTAAGAAAAACTTCTCTTGTGATAAAATGGTAAATATGCAGTTGCTTATGACAAACTTCTTGCAGTAACAAGAAACGGAAATTCTTGTACAACTTGAAATTCTTAGTGTTTGACATTATCTTCTGTACTATCTTGTTTCAGCTCATGGCATCATTTTATAGTTTAATATCACCCTGTACGTTGTAAGATGATTGTTTCATACAGCTATTTGGTACCTATGTGGTGAATATTTGTGTTTAAAATAGTTTGTTTGCACATCAAATTCAAAACCAGCTCATTTTCCTAAAGTAACATTTGTAGATTGAGCGACTGCATTTAGGATCAATTCAGGCCACTTCATCTGCATCTTTAAAAAGAGATGGCCAAAGGATATACAACTTTGTGTCCTTTCCCAGCTTTCCAAAGAGCCCATTGGATTCATGTTTATGTAGTTTCTTTTCACCAGAACTATCTTAAGATTGTTCAGGAATAGGGGCTACTGTCAGAGCATTGTGTGATTTAATGTGTAGCCCTTGATTCTCTGACCACATTCTTGCGGTGTGGAAGTGTGTCCTATGGAAGCAGCTATATAGGGGCTGTATAGATGCTTCTAGGCTGGACCAGAATTATGGGTGCAAATATTATAATGTTGTTGTGCACCTGCTTTTAGGGCAGAAGTGAAAAAGGCCTGAATTCAGCACTTACTCTGCCTGCCAGATTAAGGGCTTGTCTACACTGGCACTTCACAGCGCTGCAACTTTCTCGCTCAGGGGTATGAAAAAACACCACCCTGAGTGCTGCAAGTTTCGGTGCTGTAATGTGGCATTGTAGACAGTGCTACAGCTGGTTGTTTGTTTGTTTTCGTTTGTTTGTTTTTTTTACAGCGCTGAGAGAGCTCTCTCCCAGCGCTGTGCCGTGACTAAACAGCCCCATTAAAGCACTGCCGCAGCAGTGCTTTAACGTTGCTAGTGAAGACGTGCCCGAAATCGGAATTACCTCAGTGACTCTCAGAGCTATTACATTCTCTTGGTTAGCTAGGTAAGAATTGTATAAATTACAATGAAAGATTATTCAATTACACACACACATTAATTGAAATAACCTTAAATTTGTAAAACAAATCAAGGAATGTCAGCAAACTTCAAGATAACCCTGCTGGTGTTCGCACCCTTTCTTTGAGTGGTTTATGTTGCTGGACCTTGTGAATGTTTAATTTTTGTGTTGCTGACTTGAAAATGAGTGGATCTTATTTCAGCTTAAAATACAATTTAAAAAAAAGAAAAGAAAATGTGTCCTTGCTCTCTTCCTTTTATCTTCCTTTCCCCAAACACCTGAGAAGAGAAGGAGGTTATCAGGATATGATTATTATTATTGACTAGCAAGATATGACTATATACAGAAAATGCTGTGGGGATTGATTTTTGGTAGTGCTACCCTTCAACTTGGACTTTGCATTTGTTTTTGATTTGCCATGCACCCATATGCCATGGCACTAGATGCATAAATTATCCCTCAGTAAATGCATAGCTTGTTGTGGTAATAAATACTTCTGTGATTAGTTTTTATGCTCTCAACAAATATGAAGAATAAATACACCTTGATCAGATTTTGCTTTTTATGTTTTACCAGTTGTATATATTAATAAACACAAACAAGAACACTTATGGTTATTTGCAAGTGTCTGATGCATTCTTTTGATGGCTGTAGCACAACCC